AATGTCGTGTACCAGGTTGGCAGTCCATCCTTACTTCACATACCCTAAACCACAGTGTACTCTTTATCCTTGGGACTGCTGTAAAGAAGAATCTTTCTATCTGTGATTATGTAAATCAATGTGGATTTTATAAAGCATTTTAAGCATCAAGAAAAAGAGAATAACTTCTTCACAGTTTTTCTTGTCTAACAGTAATAATGTAATTGGACAGGGTTAAAGTTATCTTTTAACTTATGATTTGTAGATGCCAGAGTGTCTTTTGAGAGAGTCATACTGAAGGGTCCTAAAAATCCTTCAGGAAAACTAATCTGCTAGGCTTCCCCCCATTATCAACATCCCAAAATGCCTTTGGCAAGTAGTAAATGCCAAGTGTTTGTTATTTGGCACTTGACTAGTCACTCATTTATTTAAACTCAAACATTATGTATAAGATTGTATAAGTTTTGCTAAGCTAACTATTAAAAATTTCCATGGAAATTGCACCATCAGGGGAAAAAAAAAAAAACAAAAAACACACACACAAAAAAAAACAGGACCATGTATTGCAGTAAACATAGCTGACTGCCCTACTCCTAGCAGTTGCAACTGGCTGTGAGCTATTATTTTGCTTCTCTGTAAGAACTAGTATTTGGGTACCAGTTACTTACTTGGTTTTACTTTCAAAGTCTTTCATAATCTTGTTCCCACACAACCTGATTTTTCTCATTATATTTTAGGATTGATTCCTGTCTCCAATTAGTTTTTGTTATGAGCTATCTCATCTGCTTCTTTAATAAAATTCTCTTTTTACCCAAGCTGTCTACTAAAAATGTATGTCTGCAGATCTGATGTGCTATGACTACGCTCAGTGCTGCTGATCAGGAATTTAGGTTGAAGAAAGAATTTTCTTATCATTAATAAACAAAAATGTGTGTGGTAAAAAGAGAGCTAGCTAAGCTATGTATTTTAATACCTTATTTATCACTTCTGACCTCTATAGTATACTCTGAGTAGGCAGTGTGGTATTGCATGTGTGCCACAATTAAAAACATGCTGCCAGGAGGAATGTAAATCAGTTGCAAGGGCTTGGTTTGTAGGAGCAAAAATCTAAATGGTGATAGAAAATTGAAGAATTGCATTTTTATTTTGGTATTGAGGCACTGTTGCTTTGTAAAACTCTTTCTCTCTTCTGTGCACCATATATTGTTTTACTTGCTGTTAAATAGAAACAGAAATGTCCACCTGTCTGTGTGTGCCCTGCAGAATATTTAAAATATGCATCAACGTACTATTTCCCTAAGTTTGGCTTTCCAGGAATCACAAATTTTAATTGAATTTATGCCAATAAATATTCTTCTGTAATTTTTATCAGAGATGTCAAAATTAGAGTTTTGAAGCATGGTCCAACATACATCCTCTCTCTTACGTGTTGAATGTTTTTTATTCTGTACTGCTCAATATTATTTACATTCTAGGTTTAAACTTGAAATATTATAAATGGGAATTCTGCCTTCATCAGTTAGATAGCTTTGCTGATGAAGAGATTAATTGTAAAACTCCCTTTCTAACCTTCTCACTTTCTTTTATTACTTCTTCAGAGTGCTTGATAAGTGACATGATTGCTTTGCTTTACTTATTTCCATTCTTTCCATTTCTTGTTCTTCTTATTGGGTAGTATCAAAATTTCAGTTTGAAGAGAGTGATATCACATCCATTGGTGATACCATTGCCAAGGCTGATAAAGTTTGATTTACAGGAGTGTTTATTAAAAAATCATTTACATTTCCTATTATCAAAACCTGTGACAAAACCTGAACTTACTATAAATTGTTAAGATTAAATGACTTTAAAAAGATATGTAAGCTGTACATACCATATCTCTACCAATTTGTGTCTTTTTTTAATGATGACATTTGATAAATTCCTCAGATGTGAACTTCACAACTGGTAAGACAACCTTTCAAAGATATGCTCTGTCTTCAGAGGAAATTTCGTATTTTATATATTCTATTAGTGTTGTTTTCTTCAAAGCTGAAAATTGAAATGTATAAATAATAATATTAACTACGATGACTTCATGTTTTGCTTAAGCATGCACCATATAGAATCATAGAATATATAAGAAGTCTTTTATAGAAAATATTAAGATTTTTTTGTGGGCTGTTGCAATGAAATTGATCTACAGCTTGAATTAAATTATGAGTATTAAATACCTTAATATTAAAGCAAAGCAGTTTGATTTACTGTTTTTAATAAAGTGAAAATTAAAAATTTGAAGCCATTTTTAACCATAAGAAGGGTGTTGTAATTAATGTAAGTCAACCCATTTTGTTTTGAAGTGCAGCAAAGCAAACCATTTTTTAGTAAGCACGGGTTTTGCTCTGAATACAAGGTGCCTTTGCCATTATACTTTCATTGCACTGCTTTTTTTTTTCCTTCTGTTAAAAGCCTTGGCAATTCAAGTTTAACTTCAGTGATAAAATATTAGATGCCTAGAGGTAGCTGCTTCACGCTGTTTGTGAAGATTTGAAAGCAGCTAATATAAATAAATGAATATTAAAGTGTCCAACATGTATTTCTGAATGTAAGGCTTGAACTTTGTAGTAGAAATGTCTTCCATGACAACATTTGTCATGTGCATTAAGTGGCTGATGTTCTGAATTAATTTGCTGAAATACCAGTCTCTTGTAGTTGGAGTTGATCTAGATGCATGATCTGTAAAAGACTGTCAAAAATATTAAATTAAACAGAACAGGGAAATATTATGAAGGCAAAATCAGCATGAGCAAACCTGCTTTAAACTTCTAGTAACTGTTATATGTGTTTTGTGTCTTCTGTTTTTACAGATTTTCTCTTTGCCTCTGGAGTGTTTCGTTATGGCAGCCTCCAGTGAACAATGACATCCTTTGACAAATACAAATGCCAAAAAGCCAAATGAAAACAGTGGCCTTCTTTTCTTTTTACTCCAACACAGTGAAATGGTGCTCTTACAGTTTTCTTATTGACTCTTACTGGAAGAAACAAACTCCTGATTGGACCTTTTTTCCCCAACCCCCTGCCAGTGTTATTATGGATGCTTGACACAGTGACATCATGTAGTAGGCCCTGAAGTGTTGTCATAATTAAGTTGCAATGGTTTTATACACTTCCCCATTTCCCAACAGCTTTCTGTCAGTCCTGCATTCCTTTTCCTGGGGCCTAATTTTCCCATGTTATTGGTTTGCAGATAGGCTTGTGGCCTCTTTTGTTCCAACCACCTATGAAAAACGTCAAAGAGCAGATGATCCGTGCTACTTTCATGCACTTTGCATCATTATTACCACTCCCATCTACTTGGCGCTGCTGGTAGCCTCTCTTCCTTTTGCTCTGATAGGCTTCTTGTTGTGGTCCCCGCTCCAGTCAGCCAGGAGGCCATACATCTACTCCAGACTAGAAGACAAGAGCCATGCCAATGGAGCCACGCTGCTCACTGAATGGAAGGCTGCAGGGAATGGGAAAAGCTTCTGCTTTGGCAGTGCCAATGTTTGCCTGCTGCCAGATTCTCTGGCAAGATTTAATAATGTTTTCAATACACAGGCTAGGGCTAAGGAGATTGGCCGGAGGATCCGAAATGGGGCAAGCAGACCACAGATCAAAATATATATAGATTCTCCTACCAACACGTCCATCAGTGCAGCAAGTTTTAGCAGCTTGGTTTCCCCACAGGGTGGAGATAGCACTAATCGTACTGTTAATGTTGGCATCAAAAGGACAACATCAATGGAGTATAAAGGAGACAACTCTGGCTCGAACAACAGTGAGGACAGCAGAGAAGATAAGGGTGGAAATGGAGAGCCAAATGAAGGAGAGGAAAACACCTGCATCGTCCGCATAAACGGAGAGGATAACGGCCACATGTCAGACATAGAAACAGATACCGTCAATGGGCAGGCTAATGCTAGTGGCCCCGCAGAGCACTCGCTGGAAGGTGACGCAGAGATCTCAAAAACACCTAACCACAAACAGAAGGAAGGAGATTCTGGGAGCTTAGACAGCTACTCGGCCTCAAGAGAGTCATTAGTTAAGGTTCGTGTAGGAGATGGCACAGTGGACCAAAGCACTGTTAACAACAAGCTCCTCTACAAGGCTTCGGTCATGAAGAAGACTTCAGTGCGGAAAAAGAAACATACAGATGAGACCTTTGATCATGAGATCTCTGCTTTCTTCCCTGCCAACTTGGACTTTCTGTGTTTGCAGGAAGTGTTTGACAAAAGAGCTGCAGAGAAATTGAAAGAGCAGCTTCATCACTATTTTGAATACATTGTCTATGATGTTGGGGTCTACAGTTGCCATGCCTGCTGTAGCTTTAAGTTTGTGAACAGTGGTCTCCTTTTTGCCAGCCGCTATCCTGTTATGGATGCTGCCTATCACTGTTACCCTAATGGAAAAGGAACAGACTCCTTGGCTTCCAAGGGAGCCTTGTTTCTCAAGGTAAGAGCCTTTCTTTTTGAACCTGTAAATATTGACAAGTTATAAAATTAAGCTATTCTCTATGTCATTTCTGTTAAGAATTCAGAGAAGCAATTTTTGAGTCTATATTAGCTGATCTAACTTTTTTATGTATGTGTGTGTGTGTGTATATAAATATATATTGGTTTTGTGGCCTAGATAATGTGTTGAAGTGTTGGATGTGCGTGAATTAATAAGGAATTTTTGGAGGTAAGACAACTATAATTTTAAGTGCTGAAATGTGAAGTTGTTTACATGGAATTTTAGTTTATTTTTACAGAAATCTCATTAACAAAAGGCATACATTCTAAACTTCTTAACACAAGTACAGTACTATGGGCATTACAGTTGGACACCAGCTTATTCAGGCTACATGTTTATAAAGGAATCGAAAGACAATCAAGTCTAAATGCCAGTAAAATAAAACTGAAAGGATTGCAATGAACTGTGTGGCTATTCCTCTCTCTTATTTGCAAAACAATCGCTATGGAGAGATATGAAGAAGAGCAAACAAAAATGCATGGGACACTGGGGAGCACAGAGTTTTTTCCCTTTATTAACACAGTTTACTTAAATTAGCTAATGGTAGTGGGAACAGGAAGCCTGGGGTTACACTTCTGTAAATCACAAACAGCAGAAATACAAGTCTGCATGCAATGATTTGCTTTTCCAAGACTAATAGCTGTTCATGCTGAATTCTCAGGAGAATCTGGCAGTGCTCTTCATGAACTGGAATGTGGGCCCTTTTAATTTGGAATTAACTACAAACAAAAACTTCGTGCGGAGGTCCACATCTGTGGACCCAAACCTACATGGATCTGAAAATCTCCTAGGATACTGGATTTCAGATTTTTCTGTCACAGCTTTTAGTTAATGAAATGCATTACAAATGGATTTTTTTTTCCTAATGCTAGCAAAATATATCAACTGAAATTTTAGGTATCTTCTAGTGCAAATTGGTCACTAGTCCTCTGAATGAGCTATTATTAACCATTAAAAATATGGACCCTTAATAAGAATCAATGGTGTTTCATACTTGTTTGTAAACAAAGAGAAAATTGATACTGCGTTGCATAAAGAAGCAAATATTAGATCTTGCAGTCTGATAATACTCCAGTATTTCAAATATATTTGGCAAAAACAAAAATTCCGTATTTGCATACAGGTTTTTCAAAAAATGCATCTGTCTATACTTATGTGTACTCTTATGTGTTTATTAACAGCTGGAGTTTATTCTTTCATCATAAAGTGCTGTTTGCAAAAAAAATGAACATGCATGTTGTTCAACATAAAAATTACCAGGGTCACAAAGACTGCCCTTCAGCATATGCGTATATTAGGGACTAAGAGATTAAAAACAATCTGCTTTCAACTGCCTATTCCTGAGTCATTGATTTGTTACCCTGCTAGGAACACAGCAATGTCTCCATTTCTCTTGCAGAAAATTAAACCTCCTTTCAAATTTCCACTGGGATGATGAACTTAATTATGGATTCAAGTTGTTAAATAATGTTACAGTTGAGCAGGGAATAGGGACCAATTAATATGAAGATTCAAAGATGACTACATTCCTTTAAATATTACAGAACTCTGGCCCAACTAAAAGACCCTTTTACCTCATGTCTGTGTCATTCTGACATACTGCATGTTATACCTAAAATGTTTTTAATTTGAAGTCTACTTTGATAATGAAATGACTTTGTCTCGCTTCTGCATTAAGTGGTCAATACTCAGTTCTTTCTTAGACCATTAAAGTGTGGGAATGATCTATTTAATTTGAGCATTGAAACAAAATAGGTTTGAAGGTTGATTACTTCATTAGTAACTGCATGCGTGTGGAGTCCTGTGACAAAAGCTATAGTAAGTAAAAAGCCTGGTGTGGTTTTGAAGTCATTGAGAATCAATTTGTTCACTTCAGAATTCTTCAGGTCTTATGCTGGAGTAGCAGCAAGTAACAAAGCGTACAGTAACTGGTTAGAAGGGGTCTTTCTAGCCAATTTGAATGGCATAGTACTACTTACATCTTAATTAGTACTTATATCTCTGGTTTTACATCATTCCTTTTACTGATTGAGGGCAGCTCTTGCTTTACTTTCTGTGCATACGACATAATCCAATCTGACGTTAGAGTTTATCTCCGCATGATTTCAAAGACAGCAATAATACACCCTTGCAGAAGCGTCCTCCTAACGGCCTCGCATCCAGTGCTGCCGTGGACTTAGGAAGAAAGTGTCTCTGTCCTGTGCAAATTCTTTTTAAGTTTATGACTCCTGTGAAAAGCACAGTGCTCCTATTTTTGGAGTTGGAAACATGTCGCTTAAGTTTTGTTTTTGAAGTTTGCTTTAGAAGCTTGTTCCCCTTGCATAGATTCCATCTCTGAGTAAAGGGCCAATTGCTTTCCATGCCGTTAAAAAAAAAAAGTAAAAAAAAAAAAAAAGTGTGAAAAGCAAGTGAAGGGAGAAGACTTGCAAATTCTAACAATACAGATAAAATCACTGTGGTTTCACTCACTGGGAGGATGAAGCCTTTATTGAAATCTTTCAGATCCACGGGGAAGACCCAATATCCAAATGCCAAGGAATGTTTGGAGAAGGAAATCAGTTCTCATTCAAAGAGCACTATTTGTCTCCTTGCTACAAACTTAACTATTGAGATAAACTGAAGGTCTCAGAACTAAACCTTTAATGCAAGTTAAATTATTTGGAATCAAAAGGCAAAACTGTTCTGGGTGAGTTGTGTCACATGACAGATCCCTGCTGCCAGGGTGAAGCATTTCATGCATTTTGGTTTTGTTTCTGTTTAAAGTGAATTGGAAATTTTCTATTGCCTCTTTCCTCCACTGCCTTCACCATCTAGATTGTATTGGAAATTTTTTTTTTCTAGATTGAATTGGAAATTTTCTATTGCCTCTTTCCTCCACTGCCTTCACCATCTAGATTGTAAAGTTCAGGTGGAGATTTGGAAGGATTTGAAAGATTTGCTTAGTTACACAGAATTATTTTACCTGAGAGACTTAGACAGCTCAAGGGTTATTATTAGTAGCTATAACAATAATCAGTTCTTACATACAGCTTTTCATTTGTGTGTCTCAAAGTGCATAATAAAGGAAGGTCAACATCTGCTTAATAGAAGGAGAAACTAGAGCACAAGAAGGTAATGGGATTTGATTGTGGTTTTAACACCTGGGGTGTCACAGCTAAAGAAAGAAGATGTAAGTAAATTATAGGGACTTTTAACACAGCCTCATGCTACCTAAGCTACCTGGAGACCTGTGCAAAGGAATTTGGCTAGTCTTGGTCTGTTTTCTTCCTGAAGTTGTCTGCCACAAAAGGTGCTGCTGCTGGCATTTTCCTGACAAAGATCACAGGCTGTTCTCATCTGGATAGGCTGGTGCTTTCCAGCTCAGGATGAAGGCATGAGGATGAGAGTTGTGAGAAGCTATTGTGTAAGTCCGTTTTCTGCATTAGTGGAGAACTAATTTACATTCAGCACTTCGATCTCTTCAAACTCTAGCAGTGTTTTTGTGTCCAGTATAAGAGGCCCTCATTGGGACATAAGAGAGACGCAGTCACGGAAAAAAATAGTGCATAGGGAGGGGGGAAATGTCACCTGCATCTAAGTGACAATTTCTTGTCTGAAGTGTTAAACCACTGTTCTTTGCTGCTGGTAAGGACTCAGAGGAGAAGTTAGCAAATATATAAATCAGCCGATCCATTTTCATACTTTGACAGTCAGAACCCCTGGGAGACTCTGCCGTGACTCTGTGTTCTAGTGTTGCATTTCACATTAATTTAAAATGCCTAAGAAAAGAACCCTTGAGTCTGCTTTGTAGGTTTTATTTCTCTGTTGTCTCTTATTGCTGCTCTGCTCCAGATAGAGGAAGAAAGTGTAACTGACACAGGTGCTATCCTGTGCTGGTGATTCTAGCTAATAAGCTAGCTTGCATGTACTTGTATATAACACGATGCAGTTTTCTCAGGTGTTCTGCAGCTGTTGGTTTGACAAGTACATAATTTCAATTCATAGTATTTTTAATGAATTTAAAGGGAGTTAAAAAATGCATGTCCCTTGCAGAAACTGGATTATAATACTGCAGGCAAATCAATTTTAAAAGTTACCAGTGAGGGCACCAGTTTGTAAATTACTAGAAGGCTTCAAAAATCATTCATCTTTAGATATAGGGGTATTAGTATATATCAATATGCTTAGTTGTACTGTTTGTTTTTTTTTGTTTTTTTTTTCTGTTCAAATTTTGGACACTAGTGTAGTAAAACCAGAAAACTCACCCTTAACTTGACCTGATGAGTTAGAGTTGGAGAGTTTGTCCAGCTCTGTTGGCAAATTATGCCCTTCTAGCCTTAAAATGTAATGGCTATAACTGTAATGTGAACATAAGCCAACAAGATATGTAAATGCAAAGTTAGGGTAGGGAGGTCAATGAAAGAGGTACTCTCAAACTGGTTATTTACTGAGCAGAGCTTTTGGAGTGGTTTTCTTCCCACTGAGACTGGGAGAAGTGGAATTACACTGAATCAATGCTATTCTTCGTAGTGTTCTTGGTAGTAGGCTTCTACTCTTTGGCATCTTCTAAGAGAGATACTTTCAGCAAAAATAAGAATTCTTGTTTAAAACGCAGTATTTGAACATAAAGCAAAAGCAAAACCACAGTCTGATGTGGGTAGTTTGAACGGATAATACTACTCTAACACAAAGACTGTAGGAATTAAAAAGAAAAAATTATAAGTCTTGTGGGTTTTGCTAAATTTCTGAAAGAACCTGTGTTTAATTAGCATTAATTCCTAAGCTTATTAACAGATTTACTTTTCAAATTCTCTGAAAATTAATGCTGTTCTCAGGAAGTACAGTAATTGTGCAGAGAACATGTTATTATTCATTGTTTTAAAGGAAACCTAGCAACCTTTGCTTTAAGTGCAAACCTAACCTTGTTCTCAGAAGAGCTGGAGTGGTTGTAACAGATGGTATAAGAGCACTAGCTCCAATTGCAAAACTGCTTCCAAGCAGTTTCTACTTATTTGCTACTCTCTGAGTGTCTGCTTTTTACGATAAAATGAGGGTCCCCTGAATTACCTTCTCTCATTCTTTTTTGTATTACAGATGCAGTTAAATTTTGCTTGGGTAATTTAAGCTGTCTTTATGGCTGAGAATGAAGGGGTAACTTACGCTATGCAGTTGGACAACATATTGGGAACCTTTTTTACCTAAGGATTACAGAGAAAAGCAGGATGGCTGCTTTCTGAGGCCAGTAAGAGATTTCAGACTCTTTTCCTTGATCAGTTGTCCCGTACCTACGTTATCCCAAAATGTTAAAAGAAACGTCTAGTGCTGCTCATGATTTTGTTTAGATAACTCTAAAGCTGTCCTGTTTAACTCAGGAGGGTAACCTAAACATTTTCCACATGTTCAGTTTCTGCTTTAAAATGTTAATGTAAGAATTGGACAGAGTCCAGTAAACTGGCTGAGGCTTTTTTCTTTCTTTTTTTTTTTTTTTTAAAGGACAACCCTACCCATGAAACTTTACCATGTTTACTTCACCTTGATATAATTGAAGTTATTAATCCCAACCTTTTTCTCCTTCATTAGTGGGACACATTACAACTGTTGTGGAGGATGAAATACAGGACTGAGATCAAATTGTGGGATTTATCCTTTTCAGAAAACAGAGAGCCCTTCATTCATGGCACCAATTTACAGTCAAACACTTTCCCTCACATATAAACTTAATGAAGCTTTCCCAAATAACTAATTCTCTGAGCTCATGAAGCAGCAGTCGTTGTCACATGGTAGGTGCAGAGAAATAGAATTCTGAAAAAATCACATGCTATTGTGGCTAAAAAGAATTGCATAGCACCAAAAAGAATTTTGTGCTGATCTCTAACATTTAAAACTTTCAAATTTTATTTAATATGCTTAGATTAAATTACTAATTTATTACAAATATATTAACTAATGCCTCTTCTTTAGCAGCTGTTACATATCCCTGTACTAGCATAAGATGCCTGTTTTTAAAATGGGTCTAACCAAAAAACTGCTACAAAGAAATCAATGTACAGGAATAAAATAAATCGTTCTTGGAAGTTACCTCTACTCTAAATCATCTGTGTGAGACAGGAATGTTTGAACTGTGTGAGTCACAGCAAGTCTTTGGCATCATCTTTTACCAGGAACAGGAATTAGCACTTGGGCACACAGTTTGATTGGTTCTTCCATTAGTTTCTTGGTGCTGACTCTCCCGCTAGCCTTGGAAAACAGATAAAATGGAGGGGGGAAAAAAAAGTCCATGAGGAATTGATAAAATTTCAGACTACAGAAAAGTTGAAAGAGAAAATCTGTATCATACATTTGTTTCTTTTCTTGTCCTTCACTGTTATTGTCTTCTCATTGTACTAAAGTAGACAGGATGTCTACATGATACTCTCCTAGTGCTTGAAATAGGGAGGAGGTACAAACTGTGTGCTGTTACCAGGATCTGAGAGCATCAAATCCGGTGCAAACCATGAGCGTGTGGAGATACCGCTAGTGGGGTGTCATGCAGCTCTTTGTCTTGTGCTCACGTATTTTGAGTTCCCTTGAACTTCATCGGCTACACAAAGCAGGATGAGTATTTCTGTGGGAGCAAGATGCTACCACTTCTCCTGTCACCCTGTCTATGTACCTTGCTCCTATTGCCTGTCTGGAATGTTTTATTTCAAAGACAAACAGTAACTCCAGCCCTTTGCTGAGATGATGTTCTTTGCAAATGCAATCCTCATGCTTTTGTTTTTAGGGAAAGGGCCGTTTTGTTGTTGTTTTTCTTCCCCACAGAGCGTGCAGGTGTGCTTTTCAGCTTGGCTAGTTTTCCTTCATAGTGTGATCATTACCTTGGTTCTTGTCATGAAAATTTGTCTGCCACGGAGCTATATTGTACTTTGGATACATACCTTCTTCAAAGAGTAATGCAGGCACCACTACAACTCGTATTTACTCCAGTGACAAAACTGACACCTTAATGATAATTAATCTGATGAAATGAATGGTTTGACTCATTTACAGTCTAAGATGTAATTAAGCCATAATGGTGGAAGTTACAACTATTCTGTGTAATATCCCATCTCCCTGAAGGATTCTTAATGTTACATTGAGATTATTTACCTTCCCCAGCTTTGGGTTTATTGCCTGCACGCAGACTGTGGGGTGATGAATTCTGTGGAGCTCCTTCTCCAGGAGTATGACAAAATTTTATCTCTTTTCTGGTTTGCACACCTGGATTTCCTTCCCACGGAAGAGAAGGCAATGGCATATCCTTTGAACTTGTGTGTATTTGAACACTTCGTACTAGAGAGTGCACATTTCAGCTGAGAAATTGTCTACCTTGCTTAGGATTTTTTTAGAATAGCTACCTCCAGGCAATAAGAAGCTTCTACAAAATACCACTAAAGATTAAATTTTCCTCTTAATAATCTTTTTGTTTCTGTCTACGCATTATTGGTCAGTTGGTTTGATTCTTTAACTGAGTGTCATTTGTTATGAATGGCACAGCCCAAATTTTTAAACATAATAGAATGTTTCTTTCCAAGTAGTTGATTTTCTAACATAACAAAGGACAGACTTGAAGCTGTTTATTGAGGTGGTATTGAAACACCCCTGGTATTTAGGCAGTATTTCTGTTTTTTTGATTATGTATCTATTGATGCTTTTCTTGAGATCCAGATAGAACAGAACTGTTTTGCACTACTGGGACAAATGTGTGTAAATATAAACTGTTAAAGACAAGATATTTGTCATGTTTACAGCTTTGTATACTTACTGTACTGGAGTATGATAAACATGTGATGTGCAAGATTTTCCAGTTAGCTCTGAAAATTCCCATGATAGCAAGTAATGTGATTGAATTTAAAGTTATTTCTTTCACTCTAGCTGTAAAATTTCAACTCTTGCTACTTGTGAATTTTTTTACTTGTCAACAGGAATCTTTCCACTGTAGCCCTGTTGGCTTGATTTCTTTCATGCGCATTGTTTATTATCTGATACGTGTCTAACTGTACTACTTAGTCTGTATTGGACAAGCTTTTGATACACAATTTAGCACTGTATAGCCTAATGCCAGCATGGTATTTCCAATATATTCTAGTAATGTTCTGGGACATAAGGTGAGAAGGAATCTTTTAAAAGAAAGTACCTGATGTCAGTCTCCTGTGCTTTGAAATAAAAATTTGGAGCTGTCAGTTTTGCACTTACTAAATTCACAGGTAGGTGATGAATGTAAATAAATATAATAGGTGATAGGTGATAAATGTAAATAAAGCAACTGCCATTTTGATTTCCAAGCAAAAATCGCTTGAGCAAACTTTCCTCTTTATAAAAAAGCTTTTTTTTTTTTTTTTTTTTATCTCCAACAAGCTTCCCTTCTCCCCCAACAGATAACAAAATGTAGATGTTTAATGTTGTAGCAGGGATCAGAATGCTCTCCTAGCTTTTACTTTTCCAGATGTTTGACTAGTTTGATTACTTAACCTTTGCAAATGTACTAAGAGTTGGAATATATTTTGCATATTTCAGCATAATAATGAAAAAAGTAACTTTGTTTCTATCAACTTAGAATTATATAACAGGGACACTTTGTGAAACAACAAGTTATGTTCTCTCCACTGTAATTTTACCTCTAGATAACATACGACTTTTTCCTCATGCCATGATTATTCTATTTTACAAGATTGGGAACTTTTATTTAGATACTGCTTTTCTACGTCTACAGAAATTTTTAGTGAAGTGGTCCGTAATACATGTAAGACTTCAGAATGCAGTATCTGAAGGACTTCCCTATAAAAGTAATTCAATGGCTGTTATTGATTCACAGAGCTAACAGACCATCTGAAATGAACATAAGTCAGGCTTATGATGAAGCCTGGCTTATTTACCTACATACATTTATGTGATTACATTACTTACATGCATCACTTACATTAAGTGATTGTCCCCCTGTACTTGGCTCTGGTGAGGCCGCACCTTGAGTACAGTTTTGGGCCCCTCGCTACAAGAAGGACATGGAGGTGCTTGAGCAAGTCCAGAGAAGGGCGACGAAGCTGGTGAGGGGTCTGGAGAACAAGTCCTACGAGGAGCGGCTGAGCTGGGCTTGTTCAGCCTGGAGAAGAGCAGGCTCAGGTGAAACCTTATCGCTCTTTATAAGTGCATTAAAGGAGGCTGTAGCGAGGTGGGGGTTGGTCTGTTCTCCCACATGCCTGGTGACAGGATGAGGGGGAACAGGTTAAAGTTGCGCCAGGGGTGTTTTACGTTGAATATTAGGAAGAACTCCTTTACTGAGAGGGTTGTGAGGCATTGGAATGGGCTGCCCAGGGAAGTGGTGGAGTCACCATTCCTGGAGGTCTTTAAAAGATGTTTAGATGTTGAACTTAGCGTTATGGTTTAGTGGAGGACTTGTTAGTGTTAGGTCAGAGGTTGGACTCGATGATTTTGAGGTCTCTTCCAACCTAGACAATTCTGTGATTTTCTGGATAAATGTGAATTTAAATGTTTTTTTTTTTTTCTGTTCTAAGCAGCAAGAAGTACATTTTACTTGTGAAGTGCTCACTTGGTTTGGTGGAAGTGGAACCTTTCTGCCAAGATCCACGTTGCAGGCTGAAATGAACATTCCGAGTTCTCTTCCTGCAGCAGTGCCACGAAACTGGTCAGGCTCAGTCACCACAGTGTAATACAGCCTTGAAAATGGAACAGTCTAAAAGTAGCTACAGTATTTGACCACACAAAGGAATGTTTCTGTGCAGAATTACAGGGCTTGTAATATTTGGGAGGTCAAGTAGTTTTCCTCTCTGCACATCCCATAGTTCTTTTCCATCTGTGAAATACCAAATTAGACTGAATAATCAGATTTTTTTTTTTTTTTAATATACTAGTGCTTTTCTGTAGCTGGAAAATACACCAAGAGGCTGGAAGGATATTTATTTTCTCTCCTAGTAGTTGTCACGTATATGACAGAAATCAAAAAAGTTGGAGGAAACGTGAACTCTGGGAGATGATCTGCTTTGGATGTACTTCCATGCTGGCACTTTCCAAAGAAATTCCGATTATGTTAATGTCTTCGGCTCTTTGGGCTTCTTCCTTTTTTGGGAGCTATGGGGGCACTATCCCACTGTAGTGGCAACCTGGGGTGGCATTTGTTGTGCAGCACATAGCAGCGGTCAGTGTTTCCTCTAGGCCACTTCTTGTCATTCTTTGAGAGCTAGAGATCCCAAGTCCATTACAGTACAGATATGTGCATGCAGGGACAGTATGATAAATATTTATTTCTGATTAATGGGTGTGAGTGTGATCCTATGTATAAATTAGTTTATGAGGTCTTGTCAGGCACTCCATTAAGGCTGCACAGGAAATTCTAAAGCAAATTTGAGCTCACTTTTTTTTCTCAACTGACTATAACTTGTATTTGGATGTTTAGCTTTTAGATTTAATCTTTTGTGCTTTTTTAGATAATGATTCCATCTGTTTTAGGCAATAAGAGGATTATAAGAAGCACATTCTTGCTATAAGAAAGAAAACTTTTTGTGCAGTATTTTCAGCATGATTATGGTAGGTAACATTGGAAGATGGATCACATGCATGCTTTTGCACTGCAGCAGGAGTAACTGAAAATTTGTAATTCTATAAAAAATATATATTGTAAACTTTAAAATATATAGTTTTTGGTGTTGAAGTCAAAATCTGATTCTGAATTCAGAAAATATTATTCATCCACCTGCCGCCCTAGATAGTACAGGATTTAAACTAATGGTTTCCCAGTTTTCTCTTGGAACTGCATATGTTATGTAAGAAATTTGAGAGAACACCCTTTTTAGTTTACCTGTGACCCTGGGATACATTCAGACCAAGGCAGTCTGAGGGAGGAAGAAAGAGGTCTGCATACCTAAGCTCCTGCAGTAGTCGGCATCCATCCAGCAGATCGCCATATCTTTAGAGACCCTGCTACAGTCTCGTGTGTTTAGGAGAATCCTCTGGTGTGGGGTAAAATCAACAGTGATGTATTTTCCTCATCTTCCTCTGCCTTCAGGCTCCCTGGAGGAGGTAACTGTTTGGGAACAGCAGTAAGAACCCCATCAATATTCATTTGAAATCTGTCTAAAAGAGGACTGAAGAGACTGAGGACAGAATAATGCAAGATAGTTATTGTATGCTCTTCTAGCTGGAACAAAAACTGGAAGTTAACAAGGTGTTGTTGAGTGCAAGTGACATAAATTCATTTACTGCAAATATGAGACGGTCAATTATTGGAACAGGGGCTTGGAGAGGTGGTAAATCTTCATCCTTGGAGCTAACGCAAAACTTGACAAAGGTCTTTGCAACCTCATCTAGTTGGGCCTGTTTGAGCAGGGGGTACGCTAGAGGATCCCCAGATGTCCTCTCCATTCTATGATGGTATGACTGATGCAAGTTGAGTCTTATGACAGAAACCTGAATTAATTCTTCTCTAAATGAGCTTGGACAGAATGATCTTGCAGTAGTATGCAAATAACATCACACTGCCTGAAAATTTCCAGATACTTTGGCAAGAGGGGTGCTGTATGATGATGGGACACAGTGTGCAGTAATGGCCTCATTCTGTACTAAGAGAGAATCCTGCCTCAAGAGCAAACTAAAAACAGGATCTGCTTCTCTAATTATTTACTTTTTATTTTAAATTTTGTCACCATTGCTAAGCAACTGCGGAAAGCCTGAACTGCCAGAATCTTCAATAAAATTGAAAACCTGAACTAGAACTTGATTTTCATTTGCTTGTGTGTCCACCAGCAAATACATTTTTTAAAAAATGCTGTAGTATATGATACACAGGAGCAGTTACATTACATTCCAGTTTCCCTGGAAGCCCTGCTTCTTCTGTGCATAAAAGCAGGGGTGCATGTCATATTTTAATCTGGTTGACAGACATGGGGGCTGCCGCTGTGAAATTATGGAATGGAGGAATGTAAATCCTTTGCTGAGACACAGCAAAAATCCCCCAAACTTTTGCATAAGAATGTAAAAGAATAACCAGTCAAAATCCAAAATGTGCTAGAGATTGGAGGAAATGTGGTCAAAACCAGTATTTATTTCATGTTTCATCCTTTTTCCCAGGGTCTCTTGCCATTTTTCCTTCTCCATTCTAACCTTACATAGAGATGTAGAATTTAGACTGCTGATAATATAAGTGTCAGATGGCACGAGTGGTGGGATTTAACTGGTATATGAACAAGAGCTGGGATACAAAATGGTGGCAAAATAACCAGCACTGAGAACCAGCAAGACTGTGAGGAGCTGGAGAAAGTCAGAATCATCAGAATCTTTGATGTAGTGGTGAGCAGGAAGGAGCGAGTGTGCTAGCAGCAAGGTGGGACCCTGCGAAGGCCAAACGTGACAATCAGGTGTCTCCAATGGAGGCGTGTGTGTATTCAAAATGGAGCTAGATAGAAAGAATGGTAAAAAAGGCTAATGGTGAGCACAAAGACTGCACAGCTGGGGTTGGAAGCGGGACTGTGTGAGCTCCTCTACTAATGACCGTTAATGAAATAAAGTATTTCTTCCTTTCTTTCCAGGTGCAAGTGGGAAGTACACCTCAGGACCAAAGAATTGTGGGATACATTTCCTGCACTCACTTGCAAGCTATTGCAGGTACTGTCCATGTTTGCTTCTCTTAATTTCTCACTGTTTCTAAGTGTTGGAATTCTCGTGCAAAAGTTGGCCAGCATTGCTCCTCCAGTGTTTCTCACACAGTGCAGTGTGCATTGCAAATAGCAGTGAAATAGTGAAGAAAGGGGTAGACAAATACATCACAAAGTCTTTCCATTTTCAGTCTTAGAGTAATTAAGCATTATAAGATATGCAGTATTAAAAATCCCTTGAGAACTCTTCTTCCCTTTGCTCCCTCTTAAGTAAATACTCTTATTTTAGCAAATACATTACTATCAGCATTATTTGCATTTGTGGATCCATACTGTATCAGCTTATGAACTAAAATTTTACAAGTTGGACCAGTTTTTCCCATCAGAAATCAGTGGCTGGAGTAAGCCTAAATTCTCTGCATTTACTTGCCAACTTTGTGCATAAATGGTTGGCAAATTAATACCACTGCTTAAAAATTTCCTAGGTCGTGTATTAAAAACAGTCCCACAGCTACGTTTACAACAGCATGAAACAGCATACTGTGTGTCCTTTTTCAACAGTACCTTCTAAGACCATTAGAGATAAATGAAATACAAAAACTCTTATCAGGGTGTAGAAGGATTTGTTTTAAGTTTTCTCTGAATTATCAAAAACAGAATGAGGAGATGTTCTCTAATAGTGTGTGCTGTGTCTGTGAGATGCATGGACTCTACTGTCCACTATAACTAGACTGGAATTCCAGGTAGGTCTGTCATGTTGTGTCTGGGTTTTTTCCTCCTCAACAATCATAGGAACTTTCATGACTTTTTTTTTTTTTTTAATTTTTTATGATAGTAACTCAACATTCAGCTCTCCTTTTAATATCAGTATTCAGAACCAGACTGGGTGGTCTTATCTCCATTTTAGAAATCAACTCCAGAAATGGAGGGGAAGAAAAGCTAGTAACTTGAAGTCATTCTGTTTTAGCGTTCCTATGTATACGTCTTGGAATCATGAAGTTTCTCCATTTTAGCTGCTAGCCTGAACGCTCATCAATTAAAATTGACAAATACTAGAAATACTTGGAGATGTCTATGGAAATGTCTGTCTCCTATCTTTTGCATCAAAACTACCAGTTCTAGATTTAAAATAGGTATAGTAATAAAGTGAAAGTCAAATCTACAAACCTTTACTTTGTGTAAGCTCAAAATTTAGTTTAGCCAGAGGGGTACACGTCCTTAGTTTGTTTTACTTGATGTGACTGTGACTCCTGGGCTCCTGAGAGCGGGAGAGCACCACACAGCTGTCCTAGACTCATTGAAGACAGCATGTGTGCTGCAGGCTGAGGCAAGACAGAAATGCAACGTAAACAGCAAAACTCTGAACCTATGCTGTACAGCATGTCTAGGTTAACCCAGTCAGACAGCTAGCATTCCTTTTACTTTGCCAGTGCTTCAATTGCAGAGACAGAATTGGGAACAAAACTGCCAGTCCCTAAAGTACATTAGAGAGACTGGATAGTTCTAAAGAAGGTTCATGAATTTTTCAAATACATTTTAACAGTGTAACATTCTTTAGTTTTCTATTTCTAACTCTGGAATTATATAGCAATGTACTGTGTGATTGCTGCTGTGGAGCTGACATTTCTTGCTGTTCCAGTTCAGGTTATAAACCTTTGGTTTTAGTCCTTTTCCTTTTTAATCACCTAGTCATGTATTCTCCAAGGGTAAAAACACAACCTTCCATTTTCCTATTTATGTTCTTGCTTCATATTTTTAGGCTTATCTGGTTCAAGCAACATTCAAATAGAGCAGACAAGGATCTAAGAGTCTAAATGTCCTTTGATAAATTATATTAGTTTATGTAATGAAATAGAAAACTAAACTTCATAACAGTATGGCAGTGCTGTGCTTTCTGATTTGTATCATCTGATTCAAACCATTTCACACATTTAAAAAACTGACAAAAAACAGTATGAGTGTGTAAAGATGTGTTATCTATAAAAACAAGCACTGTTTAAAAGGTTAACCATTTAAACCATCTTGTCATTCATGGCTAAGTGCAATTTGGCTTCTCTTCTAGGATACAAAAACTTGCACTTGATAGTTCTGGTACTTACATGAGTATAAAATGAAGGGATCCAACTGTTTACGGTCAATGAACTCCTAATACTTTTTTCAAGAGATGTGCTAGCTAAATTCCATTCTGAGCTTTTTTTTTTTTTTCAGAGCTAACTTTCACTTTTTTTCAGTATAACTTCAGAAATAGATGCGGATTATTCTCTCAATAGCTATTCCTGAATCTTGATACCTGTTTAAGAAATGTTGCTATGAAGCAAGTTTCCATTATGGAAGTAGCTGCATTTTCTGTGACAAATGAGGGGGTCCTCTAATGAGACCTGAATGTAATTGTTTTCCAGGGGGCTGTTAAGTTTACATGTTTCTTTTACGTCTGTCAGTTAGTCAGTGATTGATGTTCTGGAAAAGCTTTGCTTTGTAGAATCCACCTACTTCCCAAGTCCCCCCCCCCCCCTTTAAGACACCCAACCAAGCCACCAAAACAGAGTAAGCCTCAAGCTGTTCCAGCCCAGGTCCAGATGATGTAGTATGCTGGATGCTGTCTCATAACCCAGTCATGCCCCTTTTTTTTTTTTGCATTTATTGTGAATCTGGTCATCAGTAATCAAGGTACCAGCAACTCCGAGCTCACCAGCACTTCTTTCAAGCTCTACCAACAAACACACAGCTTAAGTAGAATTTACTTTGGGAGTGAGAGAGATCCCTCAGTGTCTAAAATCCCAGCTGTAAAATCAGGAGTATGTTTGGTGTTCAGCATCCTCCAGCAGTAATTCTACATAAATTGCTGAAGTAGCAAAGCTAGCTTATCTACACCACGGCAGTCTGCCCTTGCCCCCTCCTCTCAGCTATGCTAACACAGCTGTTGTAAGCTGCGTTGTGCTTGACTGGGGACCTGACCTAGCTGAAAAGTAACTCAGCAGAACCCAGCAAAAGGTTTTTTTGTTGGTGGTGTTTGGTGTGGTAGTCCTTTTTTTTTTCCTTTGTTTTGCTCCAGCCTACCCTTGCTTAGATATATTACGCAGGTCTGCTTAATCCATCACCTAGTCAGGCATGACACTCAGGGCTGAACTGGATCCTTTGGTTGTGACTTGGAAGCAATGTTCCCTTTTGACTAGGCTTTATCCCTTACACTTTAGTTTTTGCTCATCTTCCCTAGGTTCCTTCCAATATATCCCCTAGCACAGATCAGCGCTGAGAACTCTGGCTTTAAGAACTTCCACTGCAAGTGTTTCTTTCCAGCCCCTGACAAGGCCTGTGAGCTGCTTTGTTTGATACCTAGCACTCCTCTTAACAGCTTTCCGGGGAGAACAAAGCGGTCCTCCTATCGTACCTACCTGCAGTTCTAACTAAAGCCAGGATTTCACTTAAGCATTTC